TATTGGAGATTAGAGTGTCATGGCCTTTCCTACCCAGGCTGGCTTTGAACCTTGATCCTCAGATCTCAGCCTCCTTAGTAGCTAGGATTACAGGTGTGAGCCACTGGTGCCCGGCTTTTAGTTCTTTCCTGTTTAATTCCGGCTTTTTTCTTACCAGTTCATTAATGGTCATGTTTTTCATATAAGAGAAGTCATATACTAATGAGTCTGCAGCAAACACTGGAAATATACTAGAAAAATTACTAGAGTCAACACCCATCTCCCCAATAGTGTGGGTAGGGTAGATTCTCAGAATGCCCCCTGCTCTCCACTTACCAGTGCTGGCTCTGTTTTGTGCAGTGTGGCTTCCTGTTGTGGTGCATGGCCCCGAGCCCTTCTAATGGGGCAGAACTGCTCTACAGGCGCATCATTCGTCCTTTCTTCCTGAAGCACCAGTCCCAGGTAGACAGTGTGGTGCAGGACCTGAAAGACAAAGCCAAAGAGACTGCAGATGCCATTACTAAAGAAGGTAAGACTCAGGGACAACTTGGTTCATTATGTGATATGCTAGGCTTAAATACCAGGCTTCTTATACTCCTTGTCCTCTCAGCTTTCATTCAGTGAAATGCCAAGGCCCTTAGTGGGATTTTTTTTTTTTTTTTTGATCATGGGGCTTGAACTTAGGGCCTGATGCTGTCCCTGGGCTCTTTTGCTCAAGGCTAACACCTTACCACTTTAAGCCACAGCTCGACATCCAGTTTTTGAGTGGTTAATTGGAGATGTCTCATGGGGACTTTTCTGCCTAGGCTGGCTTGGAATCATGAATGATCCTCAGATCTCAGCTTCCTGAGTAGCTAAGTTTATAGGTGTGAGCCACCGGTGCCCAGTTGGGATTTCTTTATGAAGAGTTTACCTTTTGTCCTTTTCCCAAGCTTGTTCCCCCATGAGGCACACATTTAGTGCAGCACTCACTTAGCATATTAGGAAAATTACTTCCTTACTGTAGGCAGATATTTTAGGCAGAGATTAATTTATAATTATGTATAAATATAATCTTTGATTCAGATCAGGCTGAGCTGTTTAGTGTGCTGTTCAAATTGATTTTGTTATAGATACAGAAAGAATGACCTTTCCCAGCTCCCCTGATTGGTTAATCCCAAATGTTTATTGAGGTGTTTCAAATGTGCCAACCATATTCATATATCGCTGCCAATGAATCAGCAAACCAAAGAGCCCATATTTCTTTCTTTCTTTTTTTTTTTTTTGCTTTTTGCTTTTTGGTCGATCATGGGGCTTGAACTCTGGGCCTAGGCACTACCCCTCAGCTCTTCAGCTCAAGGCTAGCGCTCTAGTGCTTGAGCCACAACGCCATTTCTGGTTTTCTGGCGGTTTATTGGAGATAAGTCTCACAGACTTTCCTGACTGAACTGGCTTTGAACTGTGATCCTCAGATCTCTGCCTCCCTAGTTGCTAGGCTTATAGGCGTGAGCCACTGACGCCCAGCCCCATATTTCTTAAAGCTAAAAATTCAATTGAAAAAGCCAATAAAATTAAAAAATTACTTGATATACTTAGTACATGATGTGGAAAAAAATAAAGCAGGTACAAAATGACAAGGGCTGGAGGGATAGAGGGATGATTACAGTTTAAATAGGAAAATTAGGAAATCCTCACTTAAAAAGACTATACTAAGTCAGATTCAAAAACAGTAAAGGAAGGAACTTTGGAAAAGACTATTCCAGAAGGAGCTACATGCACAAAACCTTGAGGTAACAGTAAAAGTGATGAGAGGTAGAAGACAAAGTCAGAGAGTTTGGAGACAGAGGCTAGATGATGTCACACAATGTTTTACGAGCCACCGGAAAGGCTTTGGCTTTTACTCTTTGAGAAAAAGTGGTGTTTGAGAATTTTGAGCAGAGGGAACATGATCTACACCCACTCAATTGAGAATGGACTGGAGGAAACAAGGAAGGAAATTAGGAGAGTAGTTAAAATGCCACTACAGTGATTGGCTGGAGGTGGTAATATAGTACATTGGTTTGTAGCAGTAGTAGTAGTCGTACTAGTAGTAGTAGTAATAGTAGATAGGGGAGTAATAAATATCAGATTAAAAAAAATTCAAGACAGAACCTATTGGCTGAAAAGTCAAGAACAGGCAGTTAGCCTATACAGTTGGATAGATAGAACTGATTGAGCGGTAGAAGACTTGAGTAGGACAGGTTTAGGTAGAGGAAAATAGGTCTAGATGTATGTTTGAGGTATCTTTTAGGTATCAATATCTTTTAGATATTGATAGCCAGTTAGATAGAGACATTGAGAGTTCAGAAATAAGGTCTGGAATGGAGAGATGAGAAGCAATCAAGAAAGCCATGAGAGTGTGGTATCCTTGGGGCCAAATGAAGAAAGTGAAAGAGGAAGAAGTAATCCTGATGACAGGTTAAGTGAAATGGAGACTGAGAAGTGACTAGTGAATTTAGCAAAGAGGGAGGCACTAGTTATCTTGAGAAAAAATAATTTGGTGGAGTGAAAAAATTTGAGAGAAATGGGAGAAAATGTGTAAGAGAATAAACAACTCTTAGAGAAATTTCTTGTGAAGAAGGGTAGAACAGGGCAGTAACTAGAAGAAAGAATTGAGGTATGGAGAATCTTTGAACTTTTTTCTTCAGGTAGGGGGAACAAAGCATGTTTGAAAATCAATGGGAGAGATCCAATAGAGAGCAAAAGATGATCAGAATGAAAGTGTGGACTGTGGTTCTTGAGAGCACAGTTCTTTAAAAATTCTGCACTTTCCTAGCCCAGTGTTAGAATCTAGTATACAAATAGAGGAACTGACTGGAATAAGAAGAGGGAAATCAAGTTTTATGGGTAGAGATGCTTGATAGGAGCTTTCAAGAAATGATACTCAGATTACTTCAGATCTCAGTGAAGAAAGAATGCAAGGAAGGAAGATGGTGAAAATGGAGAGGTATGTATAGTTATTAACAAAGATTTTGAAAAACTTTCTGTAAAGGGTCAGATAAATATTTCAGGTGTTATGGGCCATCAAGTTTCTCTTGCAGCTACTCAGTTTTCTCATTTCAGTGTGAAAACAGCCTACATATACATAAAGATTGTGACTGTAGATTTTTAGCCCTTCTAGGACAGTAGGGGAGAGTGATGTGATTGTCTGGCCAAAGGAAGGCCTACTTGACATTTGTGGTTATAAATTTAAAGTAAAACCAATTTGTGTTTATTTTTCTTCAGCTACATTCATCTACAGATTAGCTACTGAGAAAGTGGAAAGTTGTGTCAAGTTTATGATTTTAGGCAAATTACTGTTTGATGATGATACTTAAGCTGGGTAAGGAAGGAAATGGTGGGGGTAGCCCTCTGAATGGATAATAGAGGGAGAGGGCTGCAACAACAATAGGTGAAGTTTGGGGAGTAAGATACTTGACAAACAAAATTAGTGGCAAGGCTTAGGAACTGAGTAAAATGAAATTTTAATTGTATCAAGGACAGGCTGGGAAGGTGGCTCAGTGGTAGAGCGCTTGCCTTGCATGCATGAGGCCCTTGGTTCAATTCCTCAGCACCACATAAGCAGAAAAAGCTGGAAGTGGCGCTGTGGCTCAAATGGCTCAAGCTGAAGAGC